CCCCAAAACCCCAAAACCCCAGATAAAAGAAAAACAATAATAATTGAAGGTAATTTAATTAAATTTTTTATTGGTTAGAATTAAGAAAAATTATCAAAAGCCTTGAGGTTGATTTTGCGCTGCTTATTATTACTATTACTAGATATGCTGCATCAAGGTGTTGAATGGATTATCCTAGAATTATTGGTGCCCCAAAATATTTGCATTGAATTAGTTCTAAACAGAATTAGCCTATATTTTAGATTGGAAATCAATTGGGTTGGTCATCGGGCTACCTTGAGAAATATCAGTCGATCCAGTATTAGTATTTTCTACGTTATTCTAACCATTGGAGATTGAATTAAGTTTGGCATTATCAAGTGCTTTGGTCATTTCTTTTTAAGAGTTTACTTGGTCAGCCATTTTTTTGTACTGCAACTTTTAATCATCTGTAAGCTCCTTCCATTGAAGAGCAGATTTTGTCATTACCTCGTTCTGAGAAATTTTTGGATTTTCCTTTATATACTGTTCTCTCATAAGTTTACTAAATACCATATAAGAGGTTATGCCTCCCTTTCTTTCCTTTCTGGCTTTGGGAGCTTTAACTGCAGGCTTTGCTTTCTCTGGGTTTTGAGCTTAGATTTAATTTACTTATCTTTGCTTATCATCTGAGGCTATTTGCTTGTAAGGAGCTTTTTGTACCTCATCCATACTATTCCAAATTTCAGCAGTTTTTTTCATGATCTAAGCTTGCTCAAGACCTGGATTATCAGACTTAACCTGGGCTATATTTTTCTCAATGAAGGCAATATAAGCTGATTTTGATTTTTTAACTTTTGTCTTTCCTATTTACTATTCCTAAATTTAACCCTCCTTTGATTTACCTTTTTTCACTGCTGGTTATGTAGTTGGAGCTACTTATTTAGTATTTTGAGTTTATTTTTATTGGTTTTGTTGGAGTTACTACTATTATTATTACTGAAGCTGCTATTGAGCTAGTAAATTTGCTTATGCTCCCATCATATATTGCATCATAAGCATTGGATTCATTTACATTTAAAGTGGATTCAAACCAGCAGCTCCTGAAAATATTTGAGAAGCTGAATTTTATCCTTATCCTTGATTTTAGGCTTGCTACTATTGGGCTGCAGCTAAAGCTAATAGAGGATTTGCCATCGGGTTGCCAAGCAGTGGATTTGCGAGGTTCATAAATGGTTATTGCATTAATTATCCTGGGAACATTTTATTTTTGCTTTTACTTAAAATTAGTCTTTTTAGTTTATGGGGTTTTGGGGTTTTGGGGTTTTGGGG